TTGATTACCATGCTCAAAACGCACTGACACTTCGAGAGGGGACCCATAGTAGCTCCGTTTCACGTGGCACGGGCAGCAATGAGGAAAACATCTGCAAACGAATCGTTATTGATAAACCTGAAAGACCACACTGATTTTCCTTAATAAGATCTTACCTTAGAATCTGGATATCGTAGGTAAAACGGCAAAGATAAGTACAGGAATCAACGTCGTTATGATAAAAATGTACGACAAGCTTTTCGTCTTGGGCTTGTAACTTTCGTTCTATCAAAAATACAGGGCCTCACTAGTTTCGCTGAAAAGCTGACGGTTTTGTGAATTTACAGGACGATAGTATAATTTCAATCCAATAGAAGTAAGGGCACTAATGAAGCACGTACTAAGTATGAAATGTGATATTGATTTCACTATGCATCATTGCTGAATCTTTAGCTGTCTCTTATGGTATCTTATAGCCAGTCAATCATAATTTATTACGCAGAAATATAGGTGCCTCATTGATCTTGTTGAGTGGCTCCTAGTTGGCACGTTTAGTTGCCCGTCCTTTCTGAGCTCCTGCGCGATCCTTCTTCTTCTTGGACTCTTCATCTTGGTCTCTCAGTTTGGGGCCCAACTTGGGTTTGGGGGGGGGAGAAATTTGGCCTTCTATTTGTGATTTTATTTACCCTATAGAAGCCTGTTTTGACATGCATTTAGACGGTCCATTATGGACTTCATCTTTCGTTTTGAGTTGTCACTTGCAGGGAGCTGAAATTGTACTGGATCGCCGTCTGCGACTTTGCTAAGTGCTTGAGTGGGTCTAGTGCCGCCAGCTTGGTTTTCCCCATTGGTTCGCGAAGAAGTTTTCAAGAGCTTGAGTGTAGTGAGTTTCGTACGCTGTGGGCCCAACTTGGGTTTGTAAAGTTGTGGTGTGCCCGACGTAATTTATGCGTGTGGCTGTGATTTCTCTGGATTTTATATCCAAAGTCCTACCCAGGATTCAAACGACGTTGTAATACTTTGATTATTAAAATCTAGTCTCAACACGATATGAATACATCCCGTTCTCTATTTATGGGCTTGTTATATATACCAACCTTTTGGATATTTGGTGTATCCATCAGGGTTGACAACCATCCATCAATCGCCACAGTTCCGCCGGCGAGAGCAACGCGACGTTGGCAAAAAGGCTGTGTCTGCAATGGGGAATGCCTAGAGTTTACCGACGGCCGTGCCTCTGAATGACTATAGGTTGATGCGTGGACAACGAACATCACGGGCACCCAGAACAGAAAATCTTACCATACAAGCCAAGCGTAGCCCAACGAACGGTGCTATTTATGCAGGTTTTGGCCGAGATGTCGTGTAGCCTGCCTCGCTTCGCTCAGTGAGCTGTTGATTCTACTTAAACCGAATAATTAGTTATTAGACAGTTGTTGCCGGATTGCTTCGCTCGTCGGAGATTGAAGTTTAAATATTTCTTGTTGTACTGAGGATAGTAACCCCAATACCAAAACACTTAACACCCACTATGAGTTGGTAGGTGTATGTTTTCTTTTTATTCCAATGAAGGGCAAAGCTTTCACCGTGGGGATACTCTAGCTTCTAGTGACTGTCCTTCATCTGTATTTTGTGACCAGCTGAACTATTGAAAGACTTCCGAAGCATACGCATATACATACTATGAGAAACGAATTGTAGCAATTGTAGAAAGATGTATCAATATCAAAGAAATATGTGCACAATCATTTGAAACGGTAAGCTACCCACAAAAACTAATCGATGAGGAAAAACTTATTTGCCTGCTGTCGTGGACGCTTACGATGCCTTGAGCTGTCTTGGAGCATCATTGATTTTAAAGTGACATCTATGATGACGACGAATATTTTGCCAAGTGTTGTCGCCTGTGGCAATTAAATAAACTTTCGAAGGAAGTAAAACTACTGTCAATCCCCAATACTAGAGCTCTAATATCCAGAGTTTACACACTGTATTATTTTTAAGAATCATGATAGTATTAGTAAGAAATTATCAAAACCTTGCAAATTTAACAATTATTACAATTATTGATCCATGCAATTAACAAATTTACCTTCACAATTTTCGGTAACCCAGATTCAGACGAAAAAAAACCATTAAATTTTTAATGGCTTATTTTCGTTTGAATGCCATCCCTGCCAATGGTTTGTTTGGGTTATTCGGGACCCAACTCAAAATAGTCCAATTGTGGGTCGTAATAAAATATGAAAATAAGCCATTAAAATTTTAATGGTTTTTTTCGTTTCGAGATCATGTCTACCCGGAGCATTCCGACGCTATGGCGGCGGATGGAGGCCCTTCCGGCGGGTGCTGAGCTTTTTACTCGTGTTCTGATGTTCCTCGATGTTGTGAGCATTTCGAGACTTCTGTATGTGGAAAAACGGAGTCGCACGAGTGTCCGTATGCTGTTCTCGACCATCCAAACGATACGCGCGCGATTAGCTTTAGCATCGCTGTGTTTTTCGCGTCTGCGTGTGGAGTTTCAAGCGTATTACCAAGTACTGGAGACCAGGAACATCCCAAGGTCGGACGACCCGCGAGTTCCGCCTCGTGTGGTCTCTGTTTGGACCGAAAGAGGACAGGTGCGTTTTGTCAACTAGACTTTAGGTTGATAATTATTGGAACTAACATAGTAAACATTTGATGCAACAGGTTGCTGGTGCGTCGATGACACTGAAACCAGCAGAACTACCAGGCGTGCACGCGGATGGAGTGACTTCTCGCTTTTCGGTATATTCCAGCGCCATG